TCTGCCCCCCCCCCCCGGGCGTCCCCCCCCCCGCCAGCCGCTTCCCAGGGCCAACCCCGCCCGAGGGGACGCGGCCGTCTCGGTGCCCACCGCCTCCCAGCCGCTGCCCTCTCGTGCTTTCTTGCTCTGGGGGCTGAAGCAGCCCACCAGCTCCCCCGTCACCGCGCCGCCGTTGTTCCTCCTGTGGCCTTCCAGGCGCTGGAGGGAGGACGGGGGCATTTCGTCGTACAGGCGGTAGGAGAGGTTGCGCAGGACGCAGACGGCATTCTCCACACTCTGTGAGGGGACATGGAACGTGAGGGTGTCAGTCCTCGAGCTGCCTGCCACGGCATCTCCAGCTGCTACGTCCCCTGGGACATGAGCCCACCGGGCTCCGTGGCCAGTGACACCCCGATGACACCAGTGGGTGCCCCATAATGTCAGACGGAGCCAGGCTGGTTTTCCAACCATCACATCAAGACGTGCCTTTGCACCATGACAGCCAGGCAGCCTCTGGGATGGAGGGAGCAGCACCCCGTCCGAGGCCACCCGAACCCTCCCAGGACTCACCTTGTCCTCTGACTTGCCCACTTCCAGGGAGCTGCTCACGTAGTGGATCATGGAGTCCACCAGCCCGTGGCACTCGCGCATCTTCTGCCGGGTCTGCTGGCTGGCGGAGCTGAGATTCCTGCATGGGGAACGTGGGCCCATCATGGGCATAAGGGGCTTCCTCATGGCGACCACCACAGGGAGGGCAGCTAATACCTCTCCCCTGGGGCTGACCAGGCTTTGCCTTGATACACAAGCACTGCAAGGGATGGGGACCCCAGAAACAAGCCCTGGGGACATTGCTCGCTGTGTCTACAGCACAGATGGCATCTCTTCCTCCACCCAAACCTTCACCCAGAGTGGGAGGGCTGGAGCTGGCCCAGAGCAGGTACCTGAGGAAGCCGGTGGAGTTGTAGAAGATCTCTGCCTCCGAGGGGTTCTGCTGGATGACACCTGAGCCCCCAAGCCCAGAGAGGGGGACCAGGACCAGGTCTGTGAGCTGCTCCAGCGTGTCCCGGGCCAGGCGATCCTTCAGGTTGTCACTAGAGGACAGATTCCACAGGATCCCTGCGCGGAGGGGGATCCTCAGTCCCGGGATGGCTGGAGAGCAGGTCCACCTCCACCCACCTCCCCAGCGGGCTCATGCCAACCACCCGCAGCCAGGAACATGGGATGGTGGGGTAACGATGGTGCAAAGAGGT